GTGCTATACTGGCCCTGCAGCCCAATGTCAGGGTTGTGCTGTATGCGTGCTTCCCGACTGCCCCTCCAACTCCCATCGCGAGCTGTATCGTTGGTGCTCCCGGCTGTGCTGCCGTCCCATCCTTATTGCGCGTTGTAGCTTGTGTGCTCGCAATGAAAATTACCCAGACCCGTCAGAGCATTCCACTTTGAAAAGGTCCGTTCAGGGCATTGCGCAGCAGTTTCGATGTTGGACAAGACGCGCGTCACCTCTCACGCGAGTTCCTTTTCATTGATCTCATTGCAAGTTGCAACATGGGTGCTCCGTGCAACCGATACACATCGATCTAAACGAGAAGTGCATGCGCCCAGAGGACGAATTTATCAGCAAGTCCGAAAAGTCCGAAGCTACACCCTATCTGCTTCATCTCAGTCACAGTTCGGGGTTCTTGTTGTATGCTTGCCACCTACAGCGACTCCCTGTCGCTGCCTCCGTCTTGTTTCGGAGATCCATGCCCCGTTAGCCGCACGTGACATGACTTCCCTCTTTCTCTTTCTTGCGCGCTCACGGTTTCCATTCAGGTTCTCGCCGAAAGCTTTTACTTGCTGCCACAACCAGCGACCCTTACCCAAATGCAAGACAACATTGCTTATTTGGCTGCGTTGGGTATTGCTGGAATCTCCTCGGGGTTTGATATTGTTCGGCTTGGGTTTTTGGGAAACGTAGGGGTCATTTTCCGACCCCAAGCCGTCAAATGATTATGCCGGCGGCTGTATCTGTCGAACCTCAAAGTGAACGCAGGTATGTGTTAGTATCTACAGTCTATAGTTGTATAAAATATGGAACTATATAGTTATACAACTCTCTCTCTCTCTCTATATATATATATATACACATGTGTATGTACCATTATATAGTTACTGTTATACAATTATATAACCATGCAAGTATATAGTTTTACACTTGTATACTTAGATAACCATATAGTTGTATGTTTAACTATCCAATTATATAGTTTTTTAAGTATATAATTGCGTAACCACACAGCAGCACAAATGAACATATTCACATAGATGTATGTATGTATGTATGTATGTATGTATGTATGCATGCATGTATGTATGTATGTATGTACGTACATATATAGGTTTACATATGTGTGTCTATATATATATATATGGACAATTACATCATCATCATCATTATCTTCGTCTTTTTCGATATGTACTGTAACGGAAACCACTGTAAATACCGATGACTTTGCTCGTGTCAGTCACAAATCCACCCAACACCGTGTCACAAAATCAGTGGTTCGGAAACTTCAAATAAGTCAGAGCCGCAATAAACCAACTGCGTATACCCAAGAGTGTGACTGCACGATATTGGACTGAATTGTGCTTCATTTGGACCTCTTGACGGGCTTGCATATGAAATTGTCAACTGTGACAGAAACCCCAAAAAACAAAAAATCCAAAGAAGTTTAGAGAATCTTTGGATCCGCTATTTTGTATGTCCATTGTTGGTTTCGATTTTTTGGATAGGATGCAGAAAAACCCTGGGAAATGTTTGGATTTTGCTGGTGTCGCTGGTCAAAACCATTATATTCTCAAGTGCATCTTCGGATTTTGTGCGAAATCCAAAAACTACTAGGAAAATATTGTATTTTGTTGCCGTCGCCAATCAAAGTCATTGTATTCCCTGGTTTTTTTGGTTTTCGCTATAAGTTTTTAAAACCCTGGAGATTTTAATGGTTTTGACCACCGACACCAGCTAAATAATAGAATTTCCGATGGCTTTTATCAAAAAATCAAGTCCAAAGATCCTGTGAACATCTTTGGATGTTTGGGTTTTTGGATTTGTCAGTGTCTGCAGATATTCGCCCAGTTAGTATAAATCTCTGTTTCAATCCTGAGGTTTTGAACGTAAAGTTCATACACGGAGCGTCGGCGCTCCTCACAAAGCTCGGAGGTGGGGATACAATCCCTGATCGCACTTTGGTTTTGTTACTTGAAGAAGACACTGTAGCAGACAAACCAATCCCCTCCTGCTGTGATATTTCATCAGATTCTGGATAGATATCATTGATGTGATGGCATGTGTTTATGCTGTGTGCTAAGACGCCGTCGGTTTTCATGTGGAGTTTGTTCTTACCAACAGACTTGTTTGATATTCAGCTTTTGTATCTTTCATAACCAGCTATCTCGAGTCCGAGTACATTCTACAGTGCATACAGTTTCAGGAGCATCTCCTTCTGCACTCTCGCAAAGCTCCAGAGAGCATACAAAGAAAAGTTATCCACCGTTATGGTGCAAAAATATTCAAGGCTTGGTGGTTAATTTAGGAATGTTAGGAAATGCGGACGGCAGTGCAGGGAATATTTCTGAACTATGGTAAATACACACTTTCCATCCGATGAGCTTAACTAATCTATAATTTTTTCGCATTTGACAATACAGCAAATGTAACGAGAAATTATAGTAGCTAGTTAGTTGCCAACTCAACCTGCTAGCTACTGACAACATGCCTTTTACGAAGGAAATAACAATAGACCGCGATGTATATACAGTATTCGTTAAATACTAATTTCCAAGTCATAACATGTCAACTACATGGTCCAAACATAATACAGACGAGCACAATTGCACACAAATGAAACACCTAAGAGACAGGAAGCAACTATTCGGCTTCGTGTCAC